TTTATCTAACAAAGTCATTAAATTATTTTTTGTATCAATAGAATCACTCAACTAAATTTATCACAATTTTAAACATTTTAGTACTCTTATTCGGTCTAATGAGTCCTAATTAGATCTGTGAATACAAATTTCATCGATAATTTGTTGTGCTAGTTCTAAGAAACAGATACACTAGTGGACCAATAAATGAAACTCCTAATCATTTCTTTTTATTTAATAATTAGTAAATTAAGATAATACAATAAGAGTATTTGTTTCACCAATTAAGTTTACCCATAAAGGAATTAAATTAGCTTTCTTTAATTTTATTTATTTGTAGGGTCTATTTTATATGACATAAAAAATTAATGATAGATCTAGTTGAGTGATTTTACCAACGCAAATGTCTAAGTTGAGTGATTTTATTGATACAAAAAAAATCTAAATTGAGTGATTTTTATTGATACAAAAAAAAAAACCAAACTTTAATGACTTTGCTAGACTAATCCCTAAAGTTGAATGATCTTTTAAGATATCAACTGCAAAATTAAAGCGACAAATTTGGTTTCTAATATTAAATACTATCAACTAAAGTCATGGGTTTCTAGCATGTAACAGTACTATTTCAAATGTCCTTAACTGTTTTTTTTTTCATTCAAAAAATAAGAAAAATTCACACATTAGCAAGAAAGATTAAGTTTCAAAGAATTGCCAACAATTCAAAAGAAAAACTTTTAAACATGGGTAGGAAAATAAAATAAAATAGTAATGATAGCAACAATTTAAAAATTGCAACTTTGACAAAAGAGCAAGAGAAGAAGTTTAACATGTCTGCAAATAAAAAATCACACTAAATAATCACTTCTTATACATGAAACATATAGGATAATGCACCAATAGTGACCGCTCAACACTTTGAAATAAACTCAACAAATATGACATGAATATTAACACTAAAATGGATGCGGGAATAATCATGAACATCGGCTAGCTCGCGCTCGGAAGTAGCTAAATACGACTGTATAAACTCATTCGCATCCTCTAACTACATAACAACAAGCATGGATCCTATTTTATCAAAAAGAGAACAGAACAACAACATGATTAGCCAATAACACATGCTAAAACTCGAGGCAAGCACAACGACCACCAATTCGGACGACTACAAATAGAGAACAGTTTGAAAGATATACTAACATCTTAAGAACAAAACCTGCACTACTCATTTTAGAAAAAAAATCAAAAGTAAAATAAAATAAAATAAAAAAATTAAGAAGACGACTTAAGCTTTAACATATCATGCGAGAGTATTGTGACATGGATCAAAGTACACCTCATGGTCTAAAGTTTACAAAGGGGGGCAAACTGAATAAGGGAGTTACATGTGATTTACCTCGTTAAGAGCAACGCGCAAGGACAGAATGGGCAGAGAAGTAGCTTTCCACGACCACAACGAGATTTCGACTCGAGCAACGATCAAGGAATTTGAGTAAAATTGAACTCAACACCGAAACTAGTTCTCCTCTGGTTCTTTGGTATGTATTTAGTATGTATTTTTTACTGCTTTCGCTTAAGTCGCTATATGTATTCTTTGCTCTAAAAATTTCCCAACCCTTTAAATGGAGAAGAAGGGACATATATATAGGGGAAATTTCAAGGCTCACGTTTTGAATGAAGAACGAATAGGAGCAGGGGCAGAAACGAAATTTTCCTCCGATTTCAAAATTCAAAATCTGGGTGTCAACAACTGTCCCTCGTTTGACTTGGATTGATGAAAGAGATTCGAGGCAAATGAAATTGACTAATCCAATTTTGAACGACCACATCTTCATCTTTCCGAAAAAGGGATTCTGGTACAGACTTTAGGAGTTATGGCCGAACCTTTAAAATGAGTTTTCTACATATCTCAAGCTATATGAGAATTCAGGCCAACTAGTAGTTCATTATGCTTGATTTGACCATGATTATGAAAGAATTCAAAAGCTATTCCGATATTGAATTATGAAAAAACCGAAATGCTTGGGAATAAGATTTAAGAGAGAATGTCAGAGTACAATCGAGTTTTCAACATTGATCCGCCTACATATCTCTTAACTCAGGGAATCAGGCTGCTTGTAGTTCGACTCGATCGGTTGAAAGAAAATCTATCATGCAAGATAACCTTTAGTTCTAGAGGAGTGACAAGTAAGTCGAGTATGAAAAATAGGCTTGCAATCTCTTAGCCATGAGTGTGGTGCACTTCACACCCATAAGTAAGAACTTACACGGACATAATTTCCAAAGCTCTTGGTGCATTGTCACTCAGATTGGAAAGATACTTTCGGTAGAGACCAAATATTTTCGGATGCGAAACTGAAACCAGGAAACCTAAGGAAAAACCCACATGCCTTTTGATAGGGGTGTGGTTTGATTGTGGTGGAAGTCACTCCTCAGCTCGCGTCCTAAGAGTTTGACACCCCTCTTTAGACTATGTCCCAGTTCGCTGCTAAGAAAAAGTTCCACATTGTGTTGCATCCTTTTTTATGTCGTCCACACCTGTGTTTGCTTGAGAATTCATCCTCTTGGATGCTCTCGACAAAGACCGAGATAAAACTCATTAGCATACAAAAATGTAACCCCAAATGGGAAGATAGTGTCTTTTACCGTGTTGACACTTAATTGCTCTACTTGAACATTTGACGTCAACTTTCTCCAGTTTGACGTAAAGCAAATAAAGCTCGTATTTTGTATTTGTTATATAATCTTCAATGTACTCTTCTTTTGATGACGAAGTAATAAAATAGGCAGATGTAATATGTTGATAGTTCTTTTGATGTCGTATTAGCAAGGAAAATGATGCAGTTGATGTTGATTCTCTTTTGATGGGCGAATCTTTCTCGCGATGCGTGAATCTTTTTCCCGCGATGCATGAATCTCTTTTCGCGATGCATGAATCTTGTCTTGCAATGCGATGCATGAATTCTTTCTCTTGCTATGCATGATCTTTCCCGCGATGCATGACTTCTTTCTCTTGTTATGCATGATCTTTTCTGCGATGCATGCATCTTTTCTTGCGATGCATGAATCTTTTCTCTGGCTATGCATGTACTTTCCCCGCGATGCGTGAATTTTATTTATTTATTTTTTCGTGATGCATGACTTCTTCCTCTTGCTATGCATGATCTTTTCCCGCGATGCATGAATTATTTCTCTTGTGATGCATGACTTTTCTCTCAATGCATGACATTTTTTCTACAATTCATGAATCTTTTGATGATGCCTCCCTGATATCGAGCGAAGATAATGCTTCACCGAGCAACATAGGTGATCTTCTGGGTATATTTTGGATGGAGGTATCGTCTCAATCGAGAATATAAATAAAAATGACCCTCGGAGTAGTGGTATCATCTCATTTGACAATATAAATGACTCTCCGGGTAAAATATTATCATATCTGATAATATAATGCATATAAACGTCTTCCACGTATCTTTAGTCACTGGAAAATAATAATATTGATCTTTTCGCAGCTTTTGTTCATTCCATCTCTGAGCATAGTTGTACGTTCATTATGGACTTTGTTTTGTTGGGAATTGAATGAAATAATGTTACTCATATTTCCAATTCTTTGGTATAAAAAGCATAAAATATTTTCTGCATCCATAGAAAAATTGTCAATTTTTGGGGAACTCCTTGCCCTTTTGACTTCTCCATATTCATTAAATGGAGGAATATGTTGATAAGCGGCAAGCTTATAGACCTGCGTCCACAGAAAAATTGTTAGTTTAAAGAATGAACTGATTTGTGTCGATCTCTTTGGTTGTCGGCTCCTTATCTTGCTATCTCCGATTGATTTCTTTGATCCCCCGCTTCTTGCTAGATGAGACAAAACATTTTTGTGCAAAAATAATTGAAACATGAAGGAAAAGTTTTAAGAAAAAATAGATTTTCGAAAAGTAGTATTCGGGAAAGATCACTACCGAGTGTCATGTCATGTCGAGCTTAATGAACGTCTTTAAAGTTGATGTCTCGAGGTCTATCTGATCACTTGCTGAAAAGTATTCAAAGTTGTTCTAAACTGCCGATGAACCTTGTTGCAATTTTGAGGACATCCTCAAAATTTCTATCTCAGTTAACTGCCTTGGCTTATCCTTAACTGTTGGTGAGTAAATCCCGGAATTTTTGAGATCCCCTCAAAAATTCTGTCCCAGTTGCGAATTACAAAGTAAATTCAGTCTTGACTTTATTGGAGAGATCTCCTTCTTGAGAATTTTTTGAGTCCCTCTTAAAAATTCTGTCCCAGTTTCTATTGTAAAGAGAAATAGAAATCTTACGGGAGGTATGACCGAGCCCTTGTGGAGCCTACGTATCCCGTTGAGGCAAGAATCAGGTCAAACGTAGTTCCCCCTCTCGAGGACTAACAAAAATAAGAAATTAACAAAGAAACCAACTGAGGCCGACATAGGCCGCCTACGTATCTCATTCTTGAGAATTCAGGTCGAACGTAATTAAAATACAAGGAAATATTCAAAGGGATAAAGGGGTGACCGAGGCCGACATAGGCCGCTTACATATCTCATTCTTGAGAATTCAGGTCAAACGTAGTTCATTACAAAAAGGATAAAATTTCAAACGAAGCGATTACAAGCAAATAGAACAATTACAAGGAAATGAACGATTACAATGAAATTATACAAACTGAAACTTCACACATAATATTTCTTGACAACATCTGAGTTGATTGGTTTTGGCCATTCGGTGCCATCCATCTCCGACAGGACTAAGACACCTCCAGATAACACTTTCTGAACCATGTAGGGTCCTTGCCAATTTGGTGCAAATTTCCCTTTATATTCATCCTGGTGAGGGAAAATGCGCTTGAGAACCAACTGACCAATTTCAAACATTCTGGCTCTTACTTTCTTGTGGAAAGCACGAATCATTCTCTGTCGATACAGTTGACCATGACAAACAACAACCATTCTCTTCTCATCAATCAACGTTAAATGATCAATCCGCTTGCGAACCCATTCAGCATCGTCTTATTCGGCTTCTTGGATGATTTTCAATGAAGGTATTTCAACTTCTGCAGGTATAACTGCTTCTGCTCCATATACTAGCAAATATGGAGTAGCTCCAACTGATGTTCTGATAGTTGTTCGGTAACCCAACAAAGCATACGATAGCATCTCATGCCAACCTCTGCGATTGTCAATCATCTTCCTCAAAATCTTCTTTATGTTCTTGTTGGCGGCTTCTACAGCTCCGTTCATTTGGGGACGATAGGCGGTGGAGTTCCGGTGAGTAATCTTGAATTGTTCACATATCTCTCTCATCAAATGACTGTTGAGATTTGCTCCATTATCAGTAATGATGGATTTCGGTACTCCAAATCTACATATCAAATTGTTGCGAACAAAATCAGCCACAACTTTCTTGGTCACCAATTTATATGAAGCTGCTTCCACCCATTTAGTAAAGTAGTCAATCGCAACCAAAATGAATCTGTGTCCATTAGAGGCGGCTGGCTCTATTGAACCAATGATATCCATTCCCCAAGCTACAAAAGGCCAAGGTGAACTCATAGCATTAAGTTCGTGAGGCGGCACTCGAATCAAATCACCATGCACTTGACATTTATGACATTTCTGCACAAACTTGCAACAATCATGTTCCATAGTCATCCAAAAATAACCGGCTCGAAGGACCTTCCTCGCCAAAGTGAGCCCATTCATGTGAGTACCACAAACTCCGGCATGTATCTGTTCCAGAAGCTTCGCAACTTCATTAGCATCAACGCATCTGAGAAGACCTAAATCTGGAGTCCTTCTGTAAAGGATTTCCCCACTTGCAAAGAAATTAAGGGTCATACGGCGCATCGATTTCTTTTGGTTGAGCGTTGCATTCTCAGGATAAGTCCCGTCCTCTAAATACTTCTTGATGTCGAAATACCAAGGAAAACCATCTGGCTCCGCTTCAACATGGGAACAATAGACAAGTTGCTCTTTTACCTCTATATCCAAGGGATCAATATAACTTGTATCCGGATGTTTGATCATTGAGGCAATAGTGGCAAGAGCATCGGCCAACTCATTCTATGTTCTGGGAGTATGTCTGAACTCAATCTTGCGAAATCTCTTGCACAATTTATGTATATACTGCACATACGGTGTGATTTTTGGATTCTTCATGGCCCATTCTCCTTGAACTTGATGAATCAGTAAGTCTGAGTCTCCAATAACTAGAAGCTCGTGAACGTTCATGTCGATTGCCATCTTTAAACCGAGGATGCAAGCTTCATACTCAGCCATGTTGTTTGGCAATTAAATCGGAGTTTAGCTGCCATAGGATAATGCTGACCGGATTCTGACACTAAGACTGCTCTGATACCTTTCCCTTGGTGATTCGCCGCTCCATCAAAGAATACTCTCCAACCAGGATATGCTTCAGAAATATCTTCGCCCACAAACACTACTTCTTCATCGGGAAAATAAGTCTTGAGCGGTTCATACTCTTCATCAACTGGATTCTCCGCAAGATGATCAGCCAAGGCCTGTGCTTTTATTGCCTTTTATGTCACATACACAATGTCAAACTCACTCAAAAGCATTTTCCATTTAGCCAACTTCCCGATCGGCATTGCTTTCTGGAAAATATACTTCAATGGATCCATCCTGGAGATAAGGTACGTCGTATAAGAAGACAAATAATGTCTCAACTTTTGAGCGATCCAAGTCAATGCATAATATGTTCTCTCCAAAAGAGTGTAACGAGCCTCATATGGAGTGAACTGTTTACTCAAGTAATAAATGGCTCGCTCTTTCTTCCCAGTCTCATCATGTTGACCAAGCACGCATCACAACGCATTATTCAAGACCGACAAATATAACAATAATGGACTCCTTTCTCATGGAGGGACCAACACCGGTGGATAGGACAAATAGTCCTTGATGGCATCGAAAGCAGTTTGACATTCTCCGGTCCACTTGGTTGAGGCATCTTTTTTCAATAACTTAAAGATGGGCTCACACACCACGGTGGATTGAGCTATGAACTGGCTGATGTAGTTTAACCTTCCTAAGAAACTCATCACCTCTTTTTTGGTCTTCGGAGGAGGTAATTCTTGGATCGCCTTAATCTTGGAAAAGTCAAGTTCAATGCCCCTCCTGCTAACTATAAATCCCAACAACTTGCCAGCTGGCACTCCAAAAGCACACTTGGCGGGATTTAACTTCAAATTGTATCGACGCAGACGATCAAAGAATTTTCTCAAGTAAGTCAAGTGATCCGAACTCTCGCGGGCCTTAATTATGACATCATCTACATACACTTCGATCCCTTTGTGAATCATATCATGAAAGATGGTTGTCAGGGCTCTTATATAAGTAGCACCGGCATTCTTGAGACCAAAAGGCATCACCCGATAATGATATACACCCCAAGGCGTGATGAAAGTTGTCTTTTCTGCATCTTCTTCGTCCATCAGGATCTGGTGATAACCTGTATAACAATCCACAAATGACTGCATCTCATGCTTAGCGCAGTTATCAATGAGGATGTGAATGTTTGGGAATGGAAAATTATCTTTCGGGCTAGCTTTGTTGAGATCTCTATAGTCAACACAAATTTTGATTTTTCCATCTTTCTTGGCAACCGGAACAACATTGGCTAACCAAGTCGGATATTGCGTCACTTCCACTACTTAAGAGTCGATCTGCTTCGTAATCTCCTCTTTGATCTTCAAACTCAACTCAGGCTTGAATTTTCGAGTCTTTTGTTTTACTGGACTGAAATTTGGGTTAATCGGCAACTTGTGGGATACCATATTCGTACTCAATCCTGGCATATCTCTATAAGACCAGGCAAACACATCAATGTACTCTCTGAGCAAATGGACCAGGTCTCTTTTTTGAGTTTCAGTCAGATGGATACTGATTATTACTTCTTTAACACATTCCTCATCTCCAAGATTCACAGTCTCGGTTTCCTCTAAATTCGGCTTGTGTTGATTCTCGAATTGTCGAAATTCATCCGCAACATGTTCGGGTATCTCATTCTCTTCTTTGTATTCCTCACATTCGTCATCACCTGCTTCATTTCGTTCACTCGGTTCATGACATGACATGACATTGGCAGGTTTTAAATTAATATTACTGAAATCATAAACGAACAAAGTTAGGAAAGTAAAATATAAACAGATAAATAAACAAATTTTAAATAAAAGAGGCTTTTCATTTAAATTGAAAGACAAGCACAAACTTCGGTCATGGTCGAGAGCCATTTTGCCTTTTTTAAACATCACAAGGGAATTTAAAAGCTTCAAACAAATAACAATTGCATGAAGGGTGGGTCTTGGGCCTTTTCCGGACTACCACCAAATTTTAAAATAAATAAAAAAACATGTCCTTTCTACCCAGATGAGCGGGAAATCAGGAGTGGAGTGGAGGTCCAGTTCTGCAATTGCTCATCAGGTTCTGTATCACGGATGCCTGATGTTCCAGCCTCTTCCTCGATGACCGCATCAATCTCCTCAAATAGGCCCCAGATTCCTTCCCCGAGATCACCATTGTTGACGTGTTCTTGCACCGAGAATGACTGGAACAGATGAGGAATTGGCCTGGCTAATGCTTGATCAACATTTTTATTCTTCATCCCTGCTTCGTCATCTGTTGGGATATATCCCAAACCAAACTTCGCTCCTTTGGCGGGGATTTGGGTATGCTCGACAATTCCATGGAAATGCTTCCCCAACCCGAAACCTGGTTCGAAACCATTCTGGAGTATGACAGTAGCAATCATTTTTTACACGGCAGGCATAAGAGGCTGTGGAGCCAAGTCATCATCGGTGACATTTACCAGCTCCATCGTGTAAAAGTCGCAACCTCGAGAGACATCATCAACGATTGGTGCACACCCATTGGAATGGCTCCCTTCACCATAAATGACCAATTCCTGGTCCTTCCAAACAAATTTCATCAGTTGGTGAAGGGTAGACGGCACAGCCCCGGCTATATGAATAAACGGTCTTCCCAGAAGCAGGTTGTAGCTAGTGTTGATATCCAACACCTGGAACTCCACGTTAAATTCTGCAGGACCCACTTGAATATCTAAGTTCACCGCGCCCAATGTATCTCTTTGCACTCCATCAAAAGCCCTCACATTGACTTGGTTCTGGTGAAGCTTTCCCAAGTCAAATTTCAGCTGCCTCAGAGTCGAAAGTGGGAAAATATTAAGAACGGACCCGTCATCGACCAAGATACGATTTATTATCTTGTCTCGACACTTACAAGTGACGTGCAGAGCCTTGTTATGCATCCTGCCTTCGAAGGGTGGCTCTTCGTCACAGAAACTAATTCGGTGCCCTCAAACAACTTGGTTTATCATAGCCGCTAGATTGTCGCTGTTAGTACCCACAGGCACATAGGTGTCATCCAAAGCTCTCATCAAAGCCTGTCTATGCAACTGCGAACTCATCAATAAAGCCCACACAGAAATCTGAGCCAGCGTCTTCTCTAGATGCTTCACCATCGAATAATCTTTCGATTGCATTTTTCTCCAGAACTCCTCAGCTTCGGCTTCACTGATCGGCCTTTTTGCCTGGTCCTTCTTCTACCCTCCTTGAGCCAACTCTTCCGGTGTCTAGCACCTGCTAGATCTGGTCATACCCTGGGTAACAGCTGTTTCAATCACAAACTTTGGTCGAGCAAGAGTTTCTCGTGACACCAAGGCAACAACCTTCTCGCGCTCAGAATCACAAAATCTTTCTTCTCTCTAATGCTCAATGAGGCTACAACCCTTTCTAGTTTATCAGGAACAATCGAAACTATTGCTTTTGTCACGCACCAATCGTCATCTGTCTCTATCATATTGATAGTGACGCCCCCGTGATTTGGCAAAGGATTACTGTTGACATTGGGCGCGACCGTCTGAAGAGAGACCACGTTCTGATCGATCAGGTCTTGGATTTTATGTTTCAGGTTGATACAGTCCTCGGTATCATGTCCAACACTGTTGGAGTGATACGCACACCTTTGGTCGGGTCTGTAAAACTTTGAGCTAGTATCAACCGGCTTGGGCCCCACTGGATGAATATATCCTGCCGCAGTTAATCGCTCGAACAACTTTTATCGACTTTCAATGAGCGGAGTGAAAGTTCTAGCAGGCTTCTTCTCAAATCTAGGACAGGAGGGATCGTAATTTCCTTGTCGAGGGGGAGGCATTTGGCGGTAATTTGGAGCATTCGGACGGGGGGTTTGATATCTAGGATATGAGTTGGCTTGATAATTTGGTTATAGAGCTTGGTAGTTCGAGGGGGTATTTTGGTAAAGTGAAGCCGGGGTTTGATACATTGGGGGAGGAGTTTGGTAATTTGTCTGAACATTGGCACAGTTAGGGGCGACGTTCCGGCAGTGATGAGGTGGAGTTTGGTAAATTGGAGGGGGAGTTTGGTAAATGGGAGGAGGGGTATTTTGATAACTGGGGGGAGGATTATTTTGGTAATCAGACTGTGTATAACAAGCCGGGTACGAACTCTGTGAAGGTCGAGAATGACCTTGGTATGATGGGGTTTTCCTCGGGGTCTTCTTCGCCTCATAGGAGATAGATGACACATCCTCTCTTTTCTTCTTCAACAAACCCGAAGATCCGGGCGAGGCAGCAACACAGGCAATCTTCCCGGTTCTCAATCCATCTTCGATAGCCTCACCTACCTTGACTATCTCAGCAAATTTTGCTCCAACGAGCAACATGATTCTATCATAATATTCGGGTTCTTGCACCCGCACAAACACTTCGACGATTTCCTTTTCTGACATAGGAGGTCTTACTCTAGCTGCCTCCTTCCGCCATCTATATGCAAATTATCTGTAACTTTCAGTCGGCTTCTGCTTCATCTTCTCCAAGGAGTAACGATCTCCTCATTGTAGGCGAATCGTTCGATGAAGTCCTTAGCCAAAGCGTTCCAACTAGATCACTGTCTCGTTTCATGAGACGTAAAAACCACTCTAGAGCCTCTCCGCTCAAACTTCGGCTAAAAAACCGCATTAACAAAGTTTCGTCTCTCCCAACTCCCACGAGTTGGTCACAGTAGGCCCTCAGGTGTGCTAAAGGGTTCCCCGTTCATCCGAAGATGTCAAATTTCGGCACCTTGAATCCTTCCGGGAGGTCCAAATTCGAATGAATGCACAGGTCTTCGTAACTCAATCCGGCGACCTCAGGAATGCAGTTCAACTCCTTCATGACCTTTCTAATTTCTTCCTTCACATCTATCTTGGCG